ATACGTGTCATCCGAACTAAAAGTACCTGGTTAGGCAAAAGATTGACGCGATCCACATTCCTGATTATTTCAATTTTGGGTGTATTTTTTGAGGTGAGCACTGTCATGGATTATTGGCTAATTTTGGATCCATCAATGTAAAGAAGAGCTGTGACATCAAATGACAGGGATTTTGTCTTCACCTGTGTGTGTGTGTCTTTGATTATTTGGAGGCACTGTGGTGAGCAGTTGTTGGGAATATCTGGTTCACTCTGGGAGGTATCTGAGCCTTTCAATCAATCCTTTAGCCATGTTGTAGATTGAGCTTCCTGGTAATGATACAACTGAACAAACAAAAGCATGCCTGGCCAACAAACTCTGGGGCATCCACAGAAGTGTAAGAGGAGGGGTCCACTACTTTTCATTCGCCACTGGTCTTCTTTGGTGATTTCTTGGTGAGGTTGCTGAGCGTTCCCTTGATCCAGATGATTCGTTTTTTTTCTATCGGACAGGTGTTTGCCAAGATGTAAGTTTGTCTTTTAATCATTCTTTTGCTTTTTGTATATATTTTGAAGTAGTCATGTAACCCTCGTTTCAACGTTCATCTTCTGGAAGGATGATGATAATTTGGCACCGTTTTTGAGAGCTGCTCAATCTTCTGCTCAGAGTTGGTTTTGTTCGTATCTTCTTTCTGATGGTTTTTTTTTTTTGTGGGGGGGAGGGTGTCTCTGTGAGGAATCCTGTAGTTTTATAAATGCTCCTTCTAAGTCTGGCAAAGAATTCTAGTTGACTGGCATCCCCTGGGTTGTCGTTTAAGCCTTAGTGTAGGATGTTGGCTTCTGCAATAGATAGCGGGTGGCCTGGACCAGCCATTCCTCTTTGATTCGGCAGTTTAGTTTGGCTTCCCTTTCTCCAGCTTGTCTTGGGGAAGCAGTCTTGACCGTGGGTTTCTCAGACTTTCTACCTGCTCTGGTGTGGTCTGTGCTAGTTGTTCTTTGAAGTTCTCTATGGTGTGCTGGCATTTGTTTAGTCTGAAATGTGCATCTGGGATCTTCCACCATGGATCAACAGCACGGCAGCTTGAGATCCATCATCAACCATAGATGCATACTTTGGAATCCTTTAAAAAAAAAGAGAGAGAAAACGTTTGCTTTGTCTAAATCTGGTAAGCTTTCCTCTAATGTAATTTATTTTTTCTTCCACTTCAACGAATGTGTTTTGTTGAATGGATTTTACCGTGTTACTTTTGGGTAGCAGTGACATAAACCAAACCCTTATCTTATAAGTTACCTTTATCTATTAGCACTAGCCAGCATCAAAAGAGCTGACACAGGGACTAGCCACTCAAAAAAAATACGGAGTTGGTGATGTAACAGACTCTAGCACTGACTCCTATGCCTTCCGATATAGAATAAATTCTTTATTGGGCAAGTATGATTGGACACACAAGGAATTTGTCTTGGTGCAAATACTCTCAGTATACAGAAAAGGAAAGATACATTCGTCAAGAATCATAAGGTACAACACTTAATAATAGTCACAGGGTACAATAAGCAATCAAATCATACTAGGTAACAGTCAATATAGTTTGTAAGGATACAAGCAACAAAGTTACAGTCATACAGCCCCAAGTGGGAGGAGATGGGTGATAAGGAGTGAGGAGAAGATTAATAGTAAATATCTTATTTGGCTAATGAAAACTGCAGAATAAATTTATCCCAGGTCTCATTGTCACCAATATAACTTGTTTTACAATGATGGAAGCACAACCTGTGTTTTCTGTAGCCTCATTGCATCATTCAGCAGACACAAAATGAGATGTGCCCAGATGAAGTACTTCAACAAGGCAAGAATTTAAATTTGAGTCCACAGTGCAAACAGTATCCCCTTCAAAACCGCCCCAACAAACTATGGTATTACCTTCAAAAGATTTGCTCCAATAACCACAGCTTGCTTTTAGTTGCTCCTTGTCGGGATTTTTCTGGAATAGAAAATATTTTACATTATGACATTTTTCAGGAACAGAGGCTGTGTAATGCATGTAGTCCTCAACATACGGCCACTACTGGGTCCAGAATTTCCACTGCTTCAATCGTGTCACTAACTTATTAGCTGCAGTGATTTGCTTAACAACTGTGGCCAGAAAGGTGATAAAATAAGGCAAAACTCATTTAAAAAACATCTCACTTAACAATTTCGGACTCAACTGTGATCGTAAGTTGAGGACTACCTGTAGTCCTTGACTTCCAACAGTTCGTTTAGTGACTGCTTGAAGTTACAATAGCACTGAAAGTTACTTATGACAGTTTTTCACACTTAGGGCGGTTCCTACATCCCCATGGTGATGTGATTTACATTTGGATGCTTGACAACTAACTCATCTTTATGATAATTGCAGTATCCCAGGGTCACGTGATCCACTTTTGTGATCATCTGAAAAGCAGTCAATAGGGAAGCCAGATTCACTTAACACCCATGTTACTAATTTAAGAACTGCTAGGATTCCTTTAAAAGGATGAGAACAGTCCTAAAATGGGGCAATACGTACTCAACAATTTTCTCACTTAACAATATACATTTTGGGCTCAATTGTGGTTGTAAGTTGATGATTACCAGTACTTGGTTTGGCCCAGGAATTGTCTCAAGATGGGGGAGAAAATCCAGGAATAGATGACCTGCTTGTTACACCAGCCACAATAGCACAGTAATATAACAAGGGAGTTCTAAAATTGTTGTGGCCTGTCGGCCGCTGGCCCCTTCGGCAGCCGAATCAGAGGCGGCAGCATGGGAGTCAGGGTCAACATCAAGGCAACCTGAGAGCTCCGAGGAGGAAGAGGGAATGGAGCTGTGTGTGTGTGTGTGTGTGTGTATAGGGAGGGGGGGGCGGAGCCTGGGCCATCCGTCAGCCCTCAGAGTGTCAACAGTTCCCAGGTCTGGAGGTGGCTGATGAGGAAGAGGAGGAACGGCTGGGTTCAGTGCCTGACGTGTGGATGCCCCGAAGGCAGAGGAGAGGAGAGCAGTGGAAATCTATGGGCCGGTCCTTGTGACGGAAGAGCCATCAATGCTAGCGAAGCCCCATCCTAGCTCTGGGGATAAAAAGCAGGGGGCAGAGATAAATAGATGTGGCAGACAACTATTAACCTCCCTGCCAGTCCACCAGAAAGCCTACACTTCTAAATCCTGTCTAAAACTTACCCGAATTCTTGCAATCTGCAGCGTGTGTGTGTCTGCTGCTGGAAGAAAGCAAATTCACCTTCCAGGACTTCCTTTGTAAGTATGGGAAGAGATTCCTGGTGTGTTAGGCCAGTTCAGGGGGAAAGGAAGCGAGGGCCACTTTCCATAGGACTTGGGCGACTTGGTAGCCTGCTGTGAGAGAACAGCTGCTGATGCTCCTAATAAAGGGGATGTTTTGTTTACTACAAAGGGCTTGTCATGTTTGGGAGCTGGGTCAGAACAAAAATGTTGAATTTCCTTTTAGTGCAACACGGATGAACTTTTCGCCTCAACCCACCCTTTTCACTGTTCCTACTTGTCTCAACAAAGATACCAGGTTGCACAAGCACGGCAGCTTGAGAACCAACGATGCCACATGCTGAACTGATCTCGCACTGTTTTTTGAACAAGCCATCAGGAACAACTGTTGGTTGCAGATACCATACAGTGCGGTTATCGTCTCTTCTTTTTTTCAGAGCTACTACAAAGACACACCTATACTGCACAGCCCCAAACCACATATTAAGAAGGGGTGCGAAACGTTTCACGAAGAAGCCGTTTGCATCGCTTCAAACGTTATTCATCTCTGAACCTGATTCTTTCACAATATCCCAATGGATGACAACGTACCTTTTATCTGCTACCAAAATTGGTTTTCCAATCTTCATTTTCCAAGAGTTTGAAAACAAGAATTGTCCATGAATCAGGAAACATTCTTATTAAATATCTGTGAATTATGTTAAGCAATCAAAGGTTTAATTTTACTTTGACATTTTGCCACTTAGAACAGATTAGGTTTAGGATTCTATTCCTAATTCTATTCCTAATTTTAATTCTATTCTTCTAATTCTATTCTATTTCCCCCAGGAAGGCCTGTCATGTCTGTCATAATAGTCCCTGAGTGACAGGTCGAAACTCAAGGAATACCTGTGAAGTTTCTCACACCAGTCACCAGACATTGTTTTCAGATTACTCTAACATTAAGCCAAGACCCAGATATGTTCAGGGGGCTCATCATACGACAAGGACGACCTTGTAAAGTTTCTTCTACCTTTCAACAAGCTTCATTCTTTCAGATTATTCTAAAAGCCCAGATGTTACAATGTCCCTTCCTTTAAGTAACACAGCAAATACAAATTAGCTGTGGGTTGCGAAGAAGGTTGTATTCTTAGCACTGACTCCACGGCTTCAATCTGAGAGGCCAGTCAAAACCTGGAGTTGTGCTGTGCCAAGGTAGAAAAAAATTCTAAATGTCGGAATACATAACAAAACTACAAACAATCTGTATCAAGGATGGACAACGCTGGCCCCTTTACCACCTCTGGACTTCAACCCTGAGACTTCTGGGAATTGAAGTCCACGGGTTCTTAAAGAGGCCGGAGTTGTCCATCCCTGGTCTCTTTATCTTAATCTATGGCAAAAAAAAAAATCAAACCATTTTTTCATCTGCATGTTTTGAGGAAGCTTATTAGCACCCACTTTGAATCAGAAATTAAGATTGTTTGTGTGGGGGGGAAAAGGAGTAATGACAAACTTACTTCTTGCCTAAGTTGAACTGTAGGGTTTCTCCAGCTGGTATAAATGGCCATTTACAAAGCAAAGCAAGAAAATCCAAGGTTGTTTTTTTTTTTTTACAGACGCTAGTTCTTTTTTTTTTTTTTTTACAGGTAGTGTTATTGTCATGGATTCTTTGGGCTAATTTTGGATCCATGGATGTAAAAAGAGCTGTGACATCGAATGATGAAGGTGCTTTTGTCTTCGCCTTCGATCATGTCTTTATTTGGAGGCTCTGTAGTGAGGAGTTCTTGGAATATTTGCTTCCCTCTGGGAGGCAGCTGAGCCTTTTAGTCAATCCTTCAGCCACGCTGTATGTTGGAGTTCCTGATAATGATACAGCTGAAGGGCTGGCTTGGTCTTCTTTGGCGATTTGTCCTTTCTTGGTGAGGCTGCTGAACGTTTTCATCCAGATGATTCGTTTTTCTGTGGGATTCGTGTTAAGTTTTGTCTTTGAATAATTCTTTTGCTTTTTTGTACGTATTCTGATGTATCTATGATAACCCTTATCATGGATACATCAGAATACATACAAAAAGCAAAATAACTTTTATTAACCTTTATCTGCTGGAAGGATAACGATAATTTGGTGCTTCTTTTGGTTTTTGAGGGCTGCTCTCTTCTGCTCTGAGCTGGTTTTGTTCTTGTCTTCTTTCTGATGCTATCTTGGGTCTCTGGGGAATCCTGTGATTTTAAATGCTCCTTCTAAGGCTGGCAAAGAATTCTAGTTGACTGGCATTCTCCTGGATTATAGTTTAGGCCTTTCTGCAGGATGTTGTGTTGGGCGGTAGATAGTGGGTGGCTGTTGTGGAGTTGTGCTGCCAAATAATGAAAATGGGGAAAAAAACTAAATATCAGAATATCTTACAAAACTACAAAACAGAGTTTATATATTCAGGGGTTGGCAACTTCTGGGAATCGAAGTCCACAGGCTCTAAAGGGGCCAGAGTTGCTTACACCTGGGTCTATATCAACCAAACAGTTGCAGAAAAATCAAAACTCTGTTTTCCTGCTGGATGTTCTAAAGGTGCCCATTAGCCTCCACTTTGAATCAGAAGGATTTTCTGTGGGGGAGAAGGGAATAATGCAAACTCACTTCCTGCCTAAGCAATAGCACTTAAGACTTATATACCGCCCTCTCTAAGCAGTTTACAGAGTCAGCCTGTTGCCCCCAACAATCTGGGTCCACATTTTACCCACCTCGGAAGGATGGAAGGCTGAGTCAACCTTGAGCCTGGTGGGATTTGAACTGCCAAATTGCAGGCAGCTGGCAGTCACCAGAAGTAGCCTGCGGTACTGCACTCTAACCGCTGCGCCACCGCGGCTAAGCTGAATTGCACATCTTTTCTTTACCAGATAGCATTGATGGCCAATTACAGTTCTTTGTCTTCCATAGCCGCAATGGGATTGCATTGCACTATGTGATAGATGACAGTAGTCCAAGCCACTTTCTGAATTTCTATCCAGTTTACTATTAAAGCCAAAGCTCAGGTACCAATCAGCCCATTCGTTCTTGAAAACTATTAAGGAAGAAACTCAGATCTTAAGTCACTACGTGATGCTACGTGATGCAGATCAAGTACCTGAAAGACAACTATCTGCAGAAATGGACACCATGTTTAACCTGGGGAAGCGGGGAGCTCAGAGCAAAGAACAGCCCCATCAAGCAGATACTGAGGAGAGACTCCAATTAAAAAATTCCACCGTTGCCCTTTGTTGAAACTTTTAGGAGGCCAAGAAAACACAATGAAACTGATCTGAGTGAGGAGAAATTGAGCAAATCTGAAGTACCACAATAGATGTGGGAGGCTGAATGCATCCATTTTCTAAGCTGAGGTATTTCATGACTGGCAAAATCAGAAAAGCTTCTTGCGAAGAACAATCAGCTCAAAAGAAAAATTTTTTGCCTCATCGAGTCGCCCTTAAAACCGTCATTTGAAATGAAATACATACGCATTCAGTGGGTTTGCTAGCTCAAAGACAGAAAAAACAAATCAGGTATGTATCGATTTGCAGCATTATCTCAGGGTCTGCATCATTTACTGAGTCCCTTTTCTTATCAACGTTTTTTCAGGTAGCCAATTCGTTCAAGCCGCCTCAGGCTAACCATTTCCTCTGCACTCAGGTCCCGATCAGTGTTAAGATTTAGTTCATATTGGAATCATTTAGCAGTTGAACTAAAAACAGTCATCATGGGAACAGCAGTGCAGATTTTAAATCCAATTTTGTATGTATGTATGTATCCTAGTTATCTGGATTATTGAATTTAGCAAGCACTACCAAGAATTCAGAAATCATTACTTCATAAATGCAAATTTCGAATAGTTCATTTAATATATTACAATAAAAGGGTGAATGAAAAGTACGCACGCTCATTGTGCCAAAACAGTGATTAACTCATTGTCATGCAAAATTTGTTCTGAAAAGCAGTTATACAGGTATAAAAGCCACTGCCTGATGTTCGGAAAGAATTATACAGCTAAGCGCCGAGAGGGGAAAGAAAGGAAAATTATAGCTAAATACCTGACTTGTATTTTGCTTGTTTTTAAGACTTTATTTAAGGTAGCTTCGATCTTCAGAACGTTAAAATTTTATTTGCCCTGTCGTCTAGGCATTCCATTTAAATGTCTTGAATTCTAACAAAATTGTCACTCATTTTCTCCTCTGGTACAATTTCTTCTTTTTCTTGGGAATTTTGCAGCTCAAGATGAAACACCTGTTGTCCTGGAAAAGAGAAATCAGCAGGGCATGAAAAAAAAAAGAATATTCAAGTTAAGGAAGGAGAAGTAAAAGCCAGAGTGTGACAGAACTAATGAAACAAGCTTTGGTTACTGGCAACTTACCACTATTTTGGCACCCATGTCTTCATTACTAGAGTCCTCGTTGCTGAAACAGAACAATTATCCTATTAAGACTTATTTAGAAAATTTATATACCGGTCTACTTGCCCAAAGTGATTCTAGGCCACTTACAAACAATAAAACACAGTATAAAAATTAAAAAAGAAATAAGCTATGAAGGAGTTTAAAAGTGACATACATGGTCATTAAATGGTTTTAAGTGAAGGACTATCCATACTTGTATTATGTTCAATGGAGAGAATAGGGACAAAGCTGACTACAATTTTGCTTTGGGCAGCTAAATTCTTAATTCCTGAAAATTTGGATACTTTATCAATGGGGAAAAAGGGCCTTCGAGTAAAATTTCATCGGAAGCATTACTCAAAAGGTATTAGATAAAACAATATAGCCTATCAGGATTATATGTTGACACTAAAGAGCCAATTTCAACTATCACACAATTGTGGTTCTGGTCTTTAGGTTGTAAAACCCAATTTAGAAAATCTCGTTATACCTACCTGGTCTCTGCAATGGGAGAAATGGGTCCATCATCATCCAGGTATTTGTGCCTCCGTGATTCCAGACATTCATTTTCAAGATCGCCCACAGCATTCAACTGTGTCAAGGACTTCTTCAAATGATGTTCATATTTCAACATTTCAATGTATTTGAATAATCCCTTCAAAGCTGCATGCTGGGAAGAGAAGGATTTTTTTCTTTTCAGCCACAAACAAAAGCGCAAGCCTAAAACCCACTCAAGTTAATAGGTGACAAGACTGTCAACTGGAAAGACTAGCACTGATAACGTTACCTAGTTGGGTAATGAAACATGCGCAAGAAAAGGGGCGTTGGTGCTTACCTGATACACCCGTTCTCTTTCGAGCTGCTCCAAGCATCCAGTAGTGGGAGGTGCTTCAGTCTCTGAATTTGTAGGCTGAGCTTGAATTGAGGAAAGCTCCTCCTCCTCCTCCACGTGACTCCTCCACAGCGTTGCCCAGTTTTGCGAAGACAAGAGGAAAAAAAGGCGCTCTCATCCCTACTACCTAAAGAGAGGTCCCTTGGCCAAAAAAGAAGCGAGGTCCCACCAGGCGGGAAGAGAGAAAAGGGTGGGGCTGGATGCTCTTCGCAGCTCAAAGAGAACGGGTAAGCACCAACGCCCCTTCTCCTATGAGCTGCTCCGAGCATCCAGTAGTGGGACATACCAAAGCTTGGCCTGTCCTACGGGTGGGACTCCGTCTGGCTTGGAATCTCCTCAGGGTCCCTAAGAACCCATTGCAGAACCCGTCTGCCAAACGAAGCCTCTGCCGAAGCAAACACATCAATTTTGTAGTGCCTGATGAAAGGAAATGGGGAAGCCCAAGTCGCCGCCTGGCAGATTTCGATTATTGGTGCCTGGGTAGCCCAAGCTGCCGAAGTTGCCGCATTCCTAGTGGAATGCGCAGTTATGCCTCTGGGCACCTGCAGGGCCTGAGACTGATAAGACTTAGCTATGGCCGCCCTGATCCAGCGGCCTATAGTGGACAGTGACACCCTGTGACCTTGTGTTTGGGGCTGAAATGAAAGAAATAAGGCTTCCGATTTTCTGAAGGACTCAAGGCGCGCCTTACATCCAGTTTGTGCCATTGCCGTTCTCTTTCCTGCGATGGTCTGGGACAAAAGTTTGGAAGGATGAGCTCTTGGCTCTATCAAAGGCTGAACTGACCTTGGGCAAGAATGTGGGATGAGGACGGAGAATCACCCGATCGGCATGGAAAACACAGAGGTCTTGTCTAACAGACAAGGCTGCTATTTCCGATATGCGCCAAGCGGATATAATGGCTACGAGGAAAACCACCTTATATGTTAAAAATTGGAGGCTTGCCGCCCTCAAGGGTTCGAAAGGTTCCTTGGTGAGAAAGAGGAGGACTTTGTTAAGGTCCCAGGTGGGGTAACGGTGCACTGCTGGGGGTCGCAAGTTGGTGGCCCCTCTAAGAAAAGCCCTTATATGTGTGTGATGGGAGAGGGAAGTAAAGCCCTCACAAGAACGAACTGATGTCAATGCGGCCACCTGCCGTTTCAGTGTATTAGGAGACAGCCCCTTGTCAAGTCCCTCCTGAAGGAATTCTAAAATCTGAGCTATAGAAGGGGAGATGGGGTTAATTTGAAACTTGCTACACCATCTACCGAAAATGGCCCATGTGGCGTTGTAAATTCGAATGGCTGAGGGCCTTCTAGCGGCTAGAATGGTGTCAATGACCTCGTTGGAGAGCATTTCGCTCCTCAACCTGCTCCGCTCAAGCTCCAGATGGTTAGTTGGAACCATTGAGGGTCCGGGTGTAGGAGCGGCCCCTGAGATAGGGAGATCCTGTCTGGTGGAATCTTCCAGGGTGGGGCCACCGAGAGAGTACGGAGGTCTGCAAACCACGGCCGTCTGGGCCAGTGGGGTGCCACTAGGAGCAGTTCCGCTTTCTCGTGGAGCAACTTCTGAATCACCCCGGGCACCAGTGCTAGAGGGGGAAATGCGTACTGGAGCCCGGTTGGCCATGGGCAGCGGAGCGCATTGTAATCCTCCGCCCCGTGGGATGGCTACCTTGAGAAGAATCTTGGGAGCTGGGTATTGAGGGGGGAAGCAAATAGGTCTACCACCGGTTGACCGAATATCTGTGCTGCTTCTTTGAACAGGGATGGGTGGAGACGCCACTCTGACTGGTCTATGGTGGCCGTGCTTAACCAGTCTGCTTGAGTGTTTGATAGGCCCGATATGTGCTCTGCCTTGATGGACAGAAGATTGTTCTCCGCCCAGCGACACAGGCGCTCGGCTTCCCTCATTACTTGTACTGATTGTGTGCCCCCCTGTTTGTTGATGTGTGCTGTCATGTTGTCTGCTAAAATGAGGATCTGCTGCCCGCGTACCTGGGGGAGAAAACTGCGCAGGGCCAGGTGCACGGCGCGAAGCTCCAGCCAGTTGATGCTGCACGCCTGTTCTACTGCAGACCACCTGCCCTGCAATGTGAGTGACTGGACGTGAGCGCCCCATTCGTATAGGCTGGCATCTGTGATGATAGTCAGCCTTTGAGGCTCCTTGAAGAGACAGCCTTTGTTGATGACTGGTTTGGCCCACCAGAGGAGGGACGTGAGGACCTTGAGAGGTACCCTGACCGTGAGTTTGGAACTGCTTCTGCCGGATCTCTGGTACGGGAGCAGGAACCACTGGAGGGATCTGGTGTGAAGACGGGCCCAGGGAACAATAGAAATGCACGATATCGTTTTCCCTCCTACAGTGCCTGATTTTTCCCTGACTA